AATAATAATAATAATAATAATAATAATAATAATAATAATAATAATAAACAACAACCCTCACTAACAAAACCCGAACGCAGCGCCAGCGCCACCTAGCGGCTCCCCTTTCTCCAGACAGGAACCTCGAGAGGGCGTGGCGCTCATTTGCCGGCGCTCCATCCCACGAGCGCGCGTGCGCCATTTGCCGGTCCTCCAGCATCCCAGAATGCCGCTGCACCCGGAAGCCGCGCCTCCTCCTCCGCCGCCGCCGCCGCTGTGCGGGGAGGAGAAGCCGGGATGGAGGACGAAGAGCTGGATTTGGGCGACGAGCTGGAAGCCGCCTTGCAGCTGGCTCCGGAGGTGCAGCTGGCCATCGAGCAGGTGAGGGGACGAGGGGCGTGGCCGGGAGGGCGTGGGGGCGTGGCTTGGGCGAGGGCGGAGCCCTGATATGCTAATTTAAACCAGTGGAAGGGTGGGGGGGGGTGAGAGCCCATATTTAAGTGGGGGGCACTCCCTCTTTAGGGAGGGGACCCTGGAGGTGACCCTTAAAAAGGGGACAGGGACCCCCTGGGATTTGGACCCCCAGGAGCTTTGGACTCCAGTTCCCAGAAGGCACAGCCAGATTGGAGGTGGGGTTGTACAGGGGAAGACAGGGGTCCTCCATTGGGGTCCTCCAGAAGGGATAAAATGTGTGGGTGGGGGGCAGCACCCCAAAAAGCTGAATTGATTAGGTGCCCTCAAGTCATTTCCCACCCCTAGCCAGCAAGGTAGATATAAAGGTAGGTATCTCCATCAGAATAGAGCTGGAAGGGACCTTGGAGGTCATCTAGTCCAACCTCCTGCTCAAGCAGGAGACCGTGTACCATTTCAGACAAGTGGCTGTCCAGTCTCTTCTTCAAAACCTCCAGTGATGAAGCACCCACAATTTCTGGTGGCGAGTAGTTCCACTGGTTAATAGTCCTCACTGTTAGGAAGTTTCTCCTTAATTCCTGGTTGCTTCTCTCCTTGATTAGTTTCCATCCATTGTTTCTTGTCCTGCCTTCAGGGGCTTTGGAAAATAAGTTGACCCCCCCTTTTCTTTGTGGCAGCCCCTCAAATACTGGAATGCTGCTATCAAGTCCCCTCTAGTCCCCCTTTTTTCTCTAGACTATCCATACCCAATTCCTGCAACCATTCTTCATATGTTTTAATCTCCAGGCCTTTAATCATCTTAGTTGCTCTTCTTTGCACTTTTCCCAAGTCTCAACATCTTTTTTGTAATATAGTGACCAAAACCCGATGCCGTATTCCAGGTGTGACCTTACTAAGGATGTATAAAACAGTACTAATACTTCAAGTGATTTTGATTCTATGCCTCTGTTTATAGGATTGTATTAGCTGATGGATGGATGGATGGATGGATAGATGACAGACAGACAGACAAATAGACAACAAAAAGTTATCTTAGATTCCCTCCCTGATATAAAATCATCAATCCTTTTATATTTTCTTTTCAATTTTACATTCCTCTATCCCAATCTAATTGTCAAGCATGTTATATTTTCTGCTCTTGTGGTTATTGTGGAGGAAAATACAGGGCTGCCTTTTCACGCAACAGTACAGGTGGCATTTCATTATTATTATGTGATTTTTGAATCCCACATAATGGTCACATTACCTGAATCCACACCGTTCCATTTTATGTAGGTAGACGGGTCCAGGAACTCGAGGGAACTAGGCATGGAAAATTTGAAATGTAAATGTTGATATGTTTGTCAATTAAATGTAACAATAAACATAGTGATGACTTAAATTTATATTTTAACCAAGTCATAGAGGAGTTATATAAAACAAAACAAAAATATTTTTATCATCTCTATCAGTCTTAGATACCGTAAGTGTTTCTCAATCATGACCACCTGAAAGTATGTGGACTACAACTCCCAGAATTCTCCAGCCACGCATGCTGCTTCTTTGTATACAAGGGGCTTGCTGTTCTGACCCAAGCCTCGTTCCAAGCAAACAAACCAAATAGAGATAAAAGCAAAACCTTTTTAATGCTTCTCAGTGAATTCCGCTCATTCACAGTAAAAACGCTATTAAAAGCTAATTGTCCCAGATAAGAACAAGCCTTGCCAAGGTTGTGCAAGGCTGCCAAGAACGCTAGATTAAATTGCAAGGAAATAATCAAAACCAAAAAGTCTCCAAACACAAACCAGGATTTCCACAAGACTTGAAGTGCAAGAACTCCTTTGCTTCCTGCAAAGAACCCCACCTCTGAGGGCTGGCTTTTATCCCTTAAGGGAGAAGCCATCACCTTGCAGCCTTACTCCTGTGTCGCCTCCATTCCCTGATAGTTCTGGCCCCATCCCTGCATCACACGCAAGCCCCTCATTCGAGTCTTCGCTCTCCGAGAGCTCAGCCGCCCGCACCAGCGGCCGGCGAACCACAACACTTGCCTTGTTGGTCCCTTGCAGCACTGATGATGTTACTTGGTAGGATCATGAAATGTCTGCCAGAAAACAATGGAGCCCAGAGAGCACTAAGGGTTCCATATTTATTAGATTTTTAACAATACCAGGTAACTACATTAACATAAATCCAAGGTACATACGGGGGGGAAAAAAACCCAAAAATATTCAAAATATAATGCTGCTAAGCGGCTTAAATGATAGAATCTGTGTGCCATTTAACGTTTGCAATTGCAGCACGCGCCATTCAATTAGTAATTTTTCTTCCTTCCTTGATCGGTAGGTATTTCCCAGCCAAGATCCACTGGACAGGGCTGATTTCAACGCTGTGGAATACATCAATACTCTTTTCCCAACCGAGCAAGTGAGTTGAATCTATATCGCTGTACGATACCATGGGATTTTGATTTATTTTCATATTCTTTGGAGTCTATGGAGATTCTCAGTCCTCCAGGTCATGGTTATCCCAAACGTGCTTTTTTCAGGAGGCAATTGGACTTCTTGTTTTTCTTTGAAGATGTTTCGCTTCACATCCAAGAAGCTTCTTCAGCTCTGACTGGATGGTGCGGAAGGGAAGGATTTACACTCCTTGCAGACAGCTGGTTATTTGCATCCTTTTAGAGGGTCACTGAGGCCACTTGGAGTCCCCAAGGTGTGTTTTTTCAAGAGCCAACTGGACTTTCTGGTTTTTCTTTGAAGACATTTCACTTCACATCCAAGAAGCTTCTTCAGCTCTGACTGGATGGTGGGGAATGGAAGGATTTACACTCCTTGCAGACAGCTGGTCATTCGCATCGTTTTGGCAAGTCGTTAAGGCTAACATAGGAGGACAAACTAATCAGGACTAGATTTAGCAGTCCGTCTGCATTTACAAGACAAAGGCCGCTCTTTTGAAGACAGCAAAGTCCACATTTTGGACAGAGAGGTTCTGCTGGTTTGAAAGAGGGGTCAAAGAGGCCATCTATCTTCAAATTGAACACCCCTCTGTCAACAAAAGGGGGAGGGATACTACATCATCTATCTCCAGCCTACAACACAGTCCTTTCAACAGTTCCAAGAAGGCTCCACACCCATTTGCACCACTCAGGTTGACCTCTGAGGACACAGATAAACCTCCAAGTGGCCTCAACGACTTTCTAAAAAGATGCAAGTGACCAGCTGTCTGCAAGGAGTGTAAATCCTTCACTGTCCCCACCATCCAGTCAGAGCCGAATAAGCTGCTTGGATGAGAAGCTAAACGTTGTCAAAAGAAAAACCAGAAAGTCCGGTTGTCTTTATTAGTGCAATTCTGAGACTGCAGATGAGGCCCATCAGAGAGTACAAGCAGGCTAATGAGTGTTCGTTTAAGTAGCAATAGCACTTAGACTTACATACCGCCCCATAGTGCTTTGCAGCCCTTTCTAAGCAGTTGACAGAGTAAAGCTTCTTGCCCCCAACGATCTGGGTCCTCATTTTAGTGACCTCGGAAGGATGGAAGGCTGAGTCAACCTTTGAGCCTGGTCAGGATCGAACTGCTGCCAGTGGGCAGAGTCAGCCTGCGATTCTGGATTCTAACCAGCAGGGCTTCTAAAGGCACAATACTGGAACTATCACTTCATATAGAAGGACAGGCAGAGCCTGGGTGGGTGGGCGGAGTCAAAAGAGGAATCAGCCTGGACTACTTACGTTCCCACAAATGGTCTGAGTTCAACCCTTCTTCAATTCCGTTGACTCTTAATCTAGCACCCATTTGGTACTGACCGTTAGTTGACTTGATTCTTGTGTACAAGTACTCCTTGACCTACAATCGTTCATTTAGTGACCTTTCAAACAGCAATAGCAAAAGCACTTAGACTTATATACCACTTCACAGAGCTTTATAGCCCTCTCTTAAGTGGTTTGTAGAGTCAGCCTCTTGCCCCCAACAATCTGGGTCCTCGTTTTACCGACCTCAGAAGGATGGAAGGCTACCTTGAGCCGGTCAGGATCGAACTCCTGGTAATGGGCAGAGTTTAGCGTTCAATATTGCAGTTTACCCACTGCGCCACCAGGGCTCAGGGTTTGAACCTTTTAGCAATGGTTCAAAGTTATGACAGCCTCAGAAAAAGTGACTTGTGACCTATACTCACACCTATACTCACACCTATACTCACAATTTGTCACAAATGGTGTAGGGTCTCCTGCTTGGGCAGGGGGTTGGACTAGATGACCTACAAGGTCCCTTCCAACTCTGATTATCTGTTAAACTGTTACGTCACCCTGCAGCCAATTCATTGCAATTTGGATGCTTCATGAATGACATGCTATTTTAAGGTTTCAATATTTAATGCACAGTATTGACTGCTATAGCAACAAGCGGATCCTGTCATAGTGCTAGGAAGAAGTTATGTTAATTGACTGTATTATTTATGATACTATAAATCAGGGGCAAAATTTGAATTTTGATGGTGTATCTAGTTTTGGACCCATGAATGGTTTGGGGGACAGGCAGGCTGCTCAGAGTTGATTAATTGGAGCTGCCCCTAAGCCTTGTAAAATGGACTAATAAATATTTCAGAGTACCAGAATAACAGAGTTGGAAGGGACCTTGGAGGTCTTCTAGTCCAACCCACTTCTCAGGCGGGAAACCCTACATCTCTTCTTAAAAACTTCCAGCGTTGGAGAATTCACAACTTTTAGAAGTAAGTTGTTCCACTGATTAATTGTTCTGTCAGGAAATTTCTCTTTAATTCTAGATTGCTTCTCCCCTTGATTCGTTTGAATCAGTTGAATCAAAGAGAGAAGCAACCTAGAATTAAGGTGAAATTTCCTGACAGAACAATTAACAATTTCTGATAAATACTATATGTTTGACGAATGCAGACTGGGAATCTGATTCAGTCGATGGCGCATAATGAAAAAAATAAGTCCTGATTTTCTCTTACAGTCTCTGGCCAATATCGATGATGTAGTGAACAAAATCAGATTGAAAATAAGGTAAGCGAGGGTCGGTTTGCTTTCCCTTCTAGGAAAGATGGCAACAATTTTTTATTCCCTTACAATGGAACATCTACACCAGAGACAACACGCACTTGCGTGAACTTCAATTCCCAGCATTCCCTAGCCAGCTGCTTGCCTGGAGAATTCTGGGATTTGAATTCCAGCCACCTTAAAACATGCTAGTTGGGGAAATCTGGTAGTAGAAGCCCATTCCTATAAAAGGATACTGGCTGGGGAATTCTGGGAGTTGAAATCCACCCATCTTCAAGCAGGGTGACTGGGGGATTCTGGGAGTGGAAATCCTTCGAATCAAAAGCATGCTGATTAGGGAATTCCGGGAGTGGAAGTCCGCCCATCTTTAAAAGCATGCAGGCTGGGGAATTCCGGGAGTTGAAGTTCACACATTTTAAAGTTGATAACGGTTTATTGGCTCTGGTGATTTTATCAATGCCGTAAGGATTACTTGACATTGTCAAGAGATTATTCCAGTTTTCCTTTTCTGATTAGCTCAGTCTTCTGGAATAAACTTCCAATCTTAAAAGTGCATTGCCAAGGACAATTATTGTTAAAGCTTGAAATGTCTCAGAGTCTTATTAGATTTAAGAATATCTCGACAATCTTTTGCTGAATCAAAAAAGAAATGATTTGTTGAATTATTTTTAGTCTTTTTATATATTTCTTTCCTTTCCAGACGATTGGATGATAATATTCGGACGGTGGTAAGAGCCCAGACCAACGTGGGACAAGATGGCCGGGAGGTAAGTTCTCATCTCGGCGTGAAATCATCTTCTCCTTCACCTTCTCCTCCTCCTCCTTCTATCTTCATCTTCTTCTTTTTTCTATATATATAAAAGCGAAATGCATCATCACAAAATCTCCAGAACTGTAAAGCCTACAAACTTGAAATTTGGCCCGTAGGTTCATCTTGGCTTCTAGGGGCTCACTAAGAAAGGATTTTTCCAAATGACCATCAGAGCATTAGTATTTCCTATATGATTATTATTAACATGCTCTGATGCTAAGGAGTTTTACTCACCCTCCCCACCTGGAAAGGAATCTGTTCCAAGTGCAAAACACCAGCAGAGGAGTTTCACTATCCGTTTCAGTTTCAGAGCACCAAGCAGCCTTAGTACAGAACAGTTGAGCTAAGCCACGCCCAGGCTCCTTGCTGTCTCCTTGCACATTCAGCAAATACTGTTTCAGTTTCCAAACAGCCCTCAACTCTCTCACACACTGACAGGACGCTAGCCTGATGAATACCGATGGATGCTGGTAGGCAGAGGCAGAGTTTATTTTTCCTTATTTTCCTCCCCAAAAACTAAGCCCGACCACATAGTTTTGTAGCGAAGCACGGATATCGAGCTAGTAAAAGATATAATGATGAATTGTTTCTTTTGATCTAATCTGTTCACAGTCCTTAGTCACAGCAAGTTCTTTGGGTATATCTTTCCTCTACATCACCTCTGAACCCTCAAAAATATTACTTAATAAGAAAATATGGCCATGCGATTCAGAGTTCCAGCCGGCCATGCACAGTTAGTCCTCGACTTACGACCGCAATCGAGCCCAAATCCTTCGCTGCCAAGCAAGATGGTTGTCAAGTGAATTTTGCTCCATTTTACAACCTTTTCTTGCCACAGCTGTTAAGTGAATCACTGCGGCTGTTAAATTAACAACACAGCTGTTGTGTGAATCCTGCTTCCTCATTGCCTTTGCTTGTCAGAAGTTTGCAAAAGGAGAAATCACACCACTTTTGGACACGACAACCATCATAAATATGAGTCAGCGGCCAAGCCTCTTAAGTTTTGATCACGTGACCAACGGGGATGCTGCAATGGTTTTAAGTGTGAAAAACTTTTTCCCTGATACTGTTGAAACGTCAAATTCCCCTCTTTTCAGTGCTGTTCTAATTTAGAACGGTCGCCAAATGGATTGTTATACAGACCCTGTCTTATAATTTTTTTTGCCACCAAAAAAAAAAAAAAAGCACCAGGTCTTATTTTCATGGGATGTCATCTACTGACTATAACCTCACTTGCGTGTGTTGCACCCGGCCTCCTTTTCGCGGTCAGAGGCCTTCGGGAACTTCTTCTTCTGCGGCTGTCAAGGCTTTCCTGAAGGCCTCTGCAGCCGATAACAGAGCTCAGGATCGATCCAGAGCTTTGTTCTCAGCTCCAGAGGCCTTCAGCAAAGCCTTGCCAGCCTTGCCGGCTGCAGAAGAAATGGGCCGGCAAGGCAGGTGTCGGGGTACACGAGGCCTGGCTACAACTGTCCAAAGGTAAGTAGTAGGTCAGCTCCACCCTAGCTTAATTTTTACCCGTTCACTCTGGAACGGCGGGATCTTAATTAGGGCTTATTTTGGGGGGTAGGGCTTATATTGGGAGCATGTGAAAAAAATAATCGAACTAGGGCTTACTTTCAGGGTAAGTTGTATTTTTGGGGAAACAGGGTAAGTTCGAGGACTACCTGTAATTCCAAATAGTGCCTGCTCCTTGCTTTCAGTGTGTTTCTCCCCAACACTCCTCCCCGCTTTTTTGCATTTATTTTATTCTTTTTGGGGGGGGGGCAGTGGGCAGGCTCTGTTTCAGCTTGCACAAAATTTGCAGAAGACACTGGGACAAAAAAAAAGAGGGAGAATTTTCCCCAACCTGCGTGTCTGATGGCCCCTTCCCAGCGAGGAGGAGATATTAGCGCCATAACATTCCAGCACGGGGTGTCGTGTCGGGTTTTCCTTCGCAGTTCCAGACGGCGGCTGGGCCTGATGCCTTGGCAGGGGCTGGGGGGAAACAGATCCCCTTACAGCGGCGGTTGGCCGGGCCAACATTTGTAGCTGGTGCAGCTGAGGGTGTTCCCTCCTTCCCAAAAAAACCTTCCCTGGGTAGCATTTCGCTTCCATTCAGATGGGAAATTATCCCGCTGAATCCCTCGGTGGCATGCCGGCAGCTGGTTCAAAGCCTCTTTGGTCTCCCATGATGCCCTGTGATAGCTGTGATAGAGTGGGGGGAATTCTGGGAAATGGATCCGGAGGCGCTTGGATTCATCTCGACTGAGCCTTGGGGAAATTGGGCGAGAGGTATCAGTTTTTGCTCGAAATATGTTGGCTCTTAAGTTTCTCGGTGGGTCATTTTGAATGCCATCTTTTAAGAGGGGTGGACTTCAACTCCCAGAATTCCTCTGCCGGCATACTTTAATCCGCGGGGACTTCCATATTCCTTAAAGCCTTCCAGCTGGGGAATTCTGGGGATTGAAGTCCACCCTTCTCAAGTCATGCTGTCAAGGGAATTGTGAAAGTCCACCTATCTTCAAACCTGCTGGCTGGGGGATTCTGGGAGTGGAAGTCCATCCCTCTTAAAACATGCTGGCTGGGGAGTTCTGGGAGTGGAAGTTCCTCCATCTTAAAGCAGGCTGGCTGGGGAATTCTGGGAGTGGAAGTTCCCCCATCTTAAAGCAGGCTGGCTGGGGGATTCTGGGAGTGGAAGTCCACCCCTCTTAAAGGATGCTGGCTGGGGAATTCTGGGAGTGGAAGTCCACCCCTCTTAAAGCACCCTGGCTGGGGGATTCTGGGAGTTGAAGTCCACCCCTCTTAAAGGATGCTGGCTGGGGGATTCTGGGAGTGGAAGTCCACCCTCTTAAAGCATGCTGGCTGGGGGATTCTGGGAGTTGAAGTCCACCCCTCTTAAAGCATGCTGGCTGGGGAATTCTGGGAGTTGGAGTCCACCCATCTTTAAAGCCTGCTGGCTAGGGAATTCTGGGAGTGGAAGTTCCCCCATCTTAAAGCAGGCTGGCTGGGGAATTCTGGAAGTGGAAGTTCCCCCATCTTAAAGCAGGCTGGCTGGGGAATTCTGGGAGTGGAAGTCCTCCCCTCTTAAAGCTTGCTGGCTAGGGAATTCTGGGAGTGGAAGTCCACCCCTCTTAAAGCACCCTGGCTGGGGGATTCTGGGAGTTGAAGTCCACCCCTCTTAAAGCTTGCTGGCTGGGGAATTCTGGGAGTGGAAGTCCACCCCTCTTAAAGCACCCTGGCTGGGGGATTCTGGGAGTTGAAGTCCACCCCTCTTAAAGGATGCTGGCTGGGGGATTCTGGGAGTGGAAGTCCACCCTCTTAAAGCATGCTGGCTGGGGGATTCTGGGAGTTGGAGTCCACCCATCTTTAAAGCCTGCTGGCTGGGGAATTCTGGGAGTGGAAGTTCCCCCATCTTAAAGCAGGCTGGCTGGGGAATTCTGGGAGTGGAAGTCCTCTCCTCTTAAAGCATGCTGGCTAGGGGATTCTGGGAGTGGAAGTTCCCCCATCTTAAAGCAGGCTGGCTGGGGAATTCTGAGAGTGGAAGTCCACAAGTCATAAAAGGGCCCAGGTTCTCCACTCCTGTGATAAAGGAAGAATGCAAAGATGTAATTCCCCACCCCCACCCCAAATTCCTGTTGCTGACTCAGGAAATTTGTTGCATGGCCCATCCTGGCCTGGCCACCTTGAATTCTAGGTTCCCAGCAAGAGGATGGGGTCATGTAGATTCAGTTGGTGGGGTCCTCAGTGTTCAGTATGTTTCTTCTCCCCTCCCACCCACCCCAAATCTTTCGCCAGGCTCTTGAAGAGGCCCAGAAAGCCATCCAGCAGCTCTTCGGCAAGATTAAAGACATTAAGGATAAAGCAGAAAAGTCGGAGCAGATGGTGAGTGCTGTTATTGTTTCTCCTTGATGCTTAGAGAGAGCGCGATTGATAACTCTTGGCTGCTGTGTGGATGTTCTTGGTCGCTTAGGAATCTATGGATCGAAGCAGAGGAAGGAAGGAAGGAAGGAAAGAAATGATAGAAAGGAGGAGGAGAGAATGGTGAAAACAAGGGGAAGGGGTAGGAGAATGATAGGAAGGAGGGAGGAAGGAAGGGAAAAAAGAGGAAGGGAAGGATGAAGGGAGAAGGGAGAAGAGAAGGGAGGAAAATTGAGAGAGAGAGAGGGAGGGAGAGAGGAAGAGGAAGGAAGAGAGGAAGGAAGGAAGGGGAAAATGCAAAAAAGGAGGGAAAGGAGGAGTTAAGAGAAAGAAGGAAGGAAGGGAGAATGATTAAAGGAGGGAGGAGGGGATAGGTAGAATGGGAGGGAGGAAGAAAGGAAGGAAGAAAGAGAAAGGGAAGGATGAAGGGTTAAGAGAAGGAAGGAAAATTGTGAGAGGCAGGGAGGGAGGGAGGAAGGAAGGAAAAAGGATGGGAGAGGGAAGGATAGGACAAGAAATGAAGGGAGAGGGAATTGGGGAAGGGAAAGGAAGAGGAAGGAAGGAAAGAATATGAGATCAAGGGAAGAAGAGAAAAAAGGGAAAATGGAGGGGAGGGAGAGGGAGGGAGGAAAGAGTAAAGGAATAACAAACTGTAGGCAGTGTTTGATGTTTATATGATTTATTACATTGAAGCCCAGGGTGAGTTGGATGGCACTAGAACTTGTCCAACATCAACACTTCTGAGAAAACAGGAGCTAAAAGCCTGATTTTTCTACTGTACTTCCACCCCAGCATATAATTTGGGGCGGGGTGGGGCTAGATGATCTCCGAAGTCCCCTTCCCTTATTTTGTGGATTGCATCTCTTTTTCATTTCACCAAAGCCCACAGTTAGAAAGGAGGTGTCATGCCCTTGTTGGAGTCTTGATTCTGAGGGCGAGATGGAGCAGCTGACAGGGAGTGGGAGTGTGGCTCCGGTGGCTGTGGAAGAAACGGGGGAAGGGCACCGTCCGGATGGGCATTCAGAAGAAGACCCAGGCCCACCCCCCTCTTCATCCTAGGGCACGCAGGGAGGAACGGAGAAGGGAGCAACGTGGCTTACGGGAGAGAAAAGGGCCCTGATTCCCTTCATTAGTTGCAGCTGGGAGAACAGGATATAAGTGGGGCATTTGCACACAGCCCCTTGCTGGAAGCAAAGCGTGCATTATCTTTGTTGAGGCTTATCTGGATTTTGGCATCCTCCCAACTGTGGGTGTTGCGTTATCTGTTGGAAGTCTGCAATTTATCATCCTGCCCTGCTGTGTTAATTACTTCCGTGTGGTTTGTGTTGGGTTTTTTTTTATTATCTTTACTTTGGTTTTTTTTAATTATCTTTACTTTGGGTTCAGACTGCATTTCTGCCCTTCGTAGACTGTTTTTTGGAAGAGTTTGATATCCAGCCGAGGATAATTGGACATCTGGGGCCAAGTTGGAGGCATTAAAGGGAATTTATTCTACTTTGGTGACTTTGTTATTTTTGTGTCACGCCCCGGGTCATCACAGGAGGCCGTTCCTGTCTCTGGAATCTTTTGCTAAATACCTGTGTGTGCTTCCGTCTTCTAACAGGTTAAAGAAATCACGCGGGACATCAAGCAACTGGACCACGCCAAACGCCACCTGACCACCTCCATCACAACGCTGAACCACCTCCACATGTTAGCTGGGGGAGTGGATTCCCTGGAGTGAGTTATCTGGGATCTGTCATAACTTTTAAGGGTTGGCCAAGTGATTCGTCGTAAGTCGAGGACTACCTATGCAGGTGATCCTCGGCTTACGAGCACAGTTGGAGCCCCAAAATTTCTGTTGTTAAGGGAGACCTTGGTTAAGTTTTGCCCCCCTATTGCAAGCTTTTCTTGCTACTGTTGTGAAGTTGATGTCAACTCATAAAATATTTCTATGATCTGTTTAGAGTTGCCAACAGAAAGGGAGTGGGGGGGGGGAAAGGGGTTTGAAAGAGCAGTGCGGCAGCTTGGGAATCGAAAGTGCATTCCGTAAATAGTTTTTCAAAGATTGTAACTAGGTGACTCAAGTATCTGCTGCGCAAAATTCTAACGGGAGAGTATGACTGATGACTCTGGGCTATGGACGTGTCCCATTGGAGAATATGAATTATGATACACCCAGAGGGGTGGGAGAAAACCAGGGTCAAGGGCGACAGCGAATGATGCGTCTCAGAGTCGGCTACACCCAGGCAGCGCTGGCATGTTTTAGTCCCAATAAATCTTTTTAAGTTATGAAAATCTGGCTACAGACTCATGATTTAAATGGGGGTAACTGCTGGAGCCCCGACAGTTGAATCACTGTCATGCGCGCCATAGGTTTGCCGTCACGGCCTTATACCGTTGTATAGGAAGAGTTCAAAATGGAGTGGTGCGGTGGCCTAGAGGTGGAGCTCTCGCCTCACAATCCGGAGGCTGTGAGTTTGATCCTAATGTGGAGGTAGATATTTCTCTCTCCGGGCACAATGAGAATATATCTGCCAAACAAAACTCCTCATTAGCAACAGGAAGGGCATCTGGCCAGTAAACACAGCTCCATTCGGTTGCCCAGACTCCACCCCGCAAGGGATTATGGAGTCGTTAAATGAAGATGATGATAGGAAGAGTTCAAATAAGAAGGAATTTTGAGGAGCACCTGTATATTTTCGTGGTGTTTCATGGGGTTAGGTTGTTAGTGATTTGGTCTCTGGTGGGGACCCCTGTGCACGATTTGAGCGTAGCGAAAGGATGAAGCCCCATGGATGGAGGGAAATCACGGGCACCGGCCTCACTCACGTCACTACCCTTCCTTTTCTGCTTACCCTAGGGCGATGACCAGGAGGAGGCAGTACGGAGAGCTTGCTAACCTTCTACAAGGTGTTGTCAACGTGCTGGAACATTTCAACAAATACATGGGGATCCCACAGATCCGCCAGCTTTCCGAAAGGTAAGTGTCGTCTCCAAGGTGCAGCCAGGGGAGGGAGGAAGGTGGACTCTCGGTTCAAAGCATGAGCTGAATTTCGTGGTGGGATCCTTGGTGCTGTTAGAGTTGGGTTGTTTTCTTTCTTCTCCTTCTCCTCCTTCTCTTCCTCCTCCCTTTTCATTCCACAAGCTCCATTCCTTTCCAAACCTGATGATGTTACCTAGTTGGGTCATGAAACGTCTGCAAGAAAACAACCAAGCTCCGAGAGCACCGAGGAGGTCTCAGTCCTCCTCTTTCTCCTTTTCCTTCTCTTCTCCTTCTCCTCTTTCTCTTTCTCCTCCTCTCCTCCTCCTTCTCCTCTTTCTCCTTCTCCTCTTTCTCTTTCTCCTCCTCTTCTCCTTCTCCTCTTTCTCCTTCTCTCCTCCTCCTCCTCTTTCTCCTTCTCCTTCTCCTCTTCTCCTTCTCCTCTTCTCCTTCTCCTTCTCCTCCTGCTCCTCTTTCTCCTTCTCCTCCTCCTTCTCCTTCTCCTCTTCTCCTTCTCTTTCTCCTCCTCCTTCTTCTCCTCTTTCTCCTCCTCCTTCTTCTCCTCTTTCTCCTTCTCCTCTTTCTTTTTCCTCCTCTTCTCCTTCTTCTCCTCTTTCTCCTTCTCCCCTTCTCCTCCTCCTCCTCTTTCTCCTTCTCCTTCTCTTCTCCTTCTCCTTCTCCTCTTCTCCTTCTCCTTCTCCTCTTTCTCCTTCTCCTTCTCCTCCTCCTGCTCCTCTTTCTCCTTCTCCTCCTCCTCCTCCTCCTCCTCTTCTCCTTCTTCTCTTTCTCCTCCTCCTCTTCTCCTTTTCCTCTTCTTCTCCTTCTCCTCTTTTCTTCCTCCTCCTCTTTCTCCTCCTCCTCCTCCTCTTTCTCCTTCTCCTCTTCTCCTTCTCCTTCTCCCCTTTCATTCCACAAACTCCACTCCTTTCCAAACTTGATGGTGTTACCTAGTTGGGTCATGAAACGTCTGCAAGAAAACAACCAAGCTCAGAGAGCACCAGGGACCTCTCAGACCTTGAGCTTTCTTCAGTGCTTTATCCAGAGCTAGCACTGATATCTATAGAACGGTGACAGGACATGGTGGTGTCTGCTAATGGTTATGGTTTGTAAGGGAAATTGGAAGATGTTCTGGAGGACAGATCTACGAAGGGCTTTGTCTTTGAAGTGTTGGGGTTGTTACCAAGCAACGGTTAAAAGGGGAGTGGAAGGGGCATGGGCCTCTCCCAAGAGCATGTGGTGAACCACAAGACAATAGACCAAGATAGACCTTGGCAGGGCTGTCCTGACATGCTTTCATAAAGACAATTATCAAATGCGTGGAGAAAGACAGCTATGTTAACGGTATTTAATTAACCGACTTAAATTTCAATGGAGTTAAATTCAGCATTTGTCCCAGCTCCAGTATTTTTTTTTTAGTACAACGGTACAAAAAAGCCCCTCTTAACAGCCAGTTTCTTTAGTTTCTTTTACCCATACTAGTCCTCAACTTACGGCCATTCATTGAGCGACCGTTCGACGTTACGATGGCACTGAAAAAGATGACTTTCAATTCCTTATGACCCTGAGACACTGCAACCGTCATAAATGAGATTCATGTCAACTTCTAAATCATTTCTATGCCAGTCGTCGGAACCCTGACAAATCAGTTGTCAAGCATCCAAATGTACATCATGTGACCATGGGGATGCTGCAACAGTCATAAGTGTGAAATACAGTCATAAGTCACATTTTGCAGTGCTGTTGTAACTTGAATGGTTACTGAGTGAATTGTTGTAAGTTGGGGACTACCTGTGTATACTAAAGTAGATAGGCAGATGGGCATCCTGAGGTAAATCAACACAACAGGAGCATCCTGAAGTAAATCAACAAGCAGGAGAATCTTGAGGTTAATCAACACAGCAGGAGCATCCTGAGGTAAATCAACATAGGAGCATCCTGAGGTAAATCAACATAGCAGGAGCATCCTGAGGTAAATCAACAAGCAGGAGAATCTTGAGGTTAATCAACACAGCAGGAGCATCCTGAGGTAAATCAACATAGCAGGAGCAAACTGAGGTAAATCAACACAGCAGGAGTATTCTGAGGTAAATCAACATAGCAGGAGCATCCTGAGGTAAATCAACAAGCAGGAGAATCTTGAGGTTAATCAACACAGCAGGAGCATCCTGAGGTAAATCAACATAGCAGGAGCAAACTGAGGTAAATCAGCACAGCAGGAGTATTCTGAGGTAATTCAACAAAGCAGGAGCATCCTGAGGTAAATCAACACAGCAGGAGCATCCTGAGGTAAATCAACACAGCAGGGGCATCCTGAGGTAAATCAACACAGCAGGAGCATCCTGAGATAAATCAACACAGCAGGAGTATCCTGAGGTAAACCAACACAGCAGGAGCATCCTAAGGTAAATCACAGAGCAAACAGGTGGCACACAGAAGAAAAAGGCAGGAAAAAGGAAATGCCCACTCCACACCCACAGCAACCAATCACAGCACAGATTTCCTCACACAGGAGCCAGTGCTCTTCAACCAGTCAGCTGTGTTTTGGCTCATTGTACAACCCCACTGCTCCAGGTAGTCCTTGACTTACAATTTGTTTAGTGACTGTTCAAAGTTACAACAGCACAGAAAAAAGTGACTTAAGACCATTTTTCACGCGACGGTTGCAATATTCCCACGGTCACACAATTAGAATTTGGATGCTTGGCAACAGATTCATATTTATGACGGTTGCCATGTCCCGGGGTCATGTGATCAGCTTTTGCAAATTTCTGACGAGCAAAGTCAACAGGGAAGCCAGATTCATTTAACAACTATATTACTAACTTAATGACTGCAATGATTCACTTAATAACCATGGCAAGAAAGGTCGTAAAATGGGGCAAAATTCACTTAACAAACATCTCACTTAACATAACTTTGGGGCCCAGTTGTGGTCGTAAGTCGAGTACTACCTGTACTAAATTTAAATGACAGATTAGAAGACTTCCAAGGTCTCTTTCAGCCCTATGATTCTATAATTCTAAGTAATTTTGAATGTAATGTAAAATGGAGCACAAATGGGACTACAGGTAATCTTTGACTTTCAACCATTCATTTAGTGACTGACTGTTCAAAGTTAGAATGTGGAGTGGAATGGAATGGAATAGAATAGAATAGTTGGAAGAGACCTTAGAGGTCTTCTAGTCCAACCCCCTGCTCAGGCAGGAGGAAACCCTATACTATTTCAGTTAAATGTTTATCCAATCTCTTCTTAAAAACCTCCAATGTTGGAGCATTCACATGTCATTGAAAAAAAGTGATCTACGACCATTTGTCACACTCCAAACCACTGCAGCGTCCCCAAAGTCACCTGATCAAAATTCGGATGCCTCGCAAGTGTCTCGTATTTATGACGGTTGCAATCGTAAAACGGGACAAAACATATTTAATAGCTGTCTCGCTTAGCATCAGAAATTTTGGGCTCCGTTGTGGTCGTAAGTCGAGGACTACATGTACTCCCTGTTTGCAAACAGGGCTCTGGTATTCTTTTAGCTTTCAATTATCGCTCTGGATGAAAGGACACCAGATCGGCCCCGTGATCCCTGGCTTGTCAAGCACCATCTTTTTGGCTGAGGGCCAGCCCCATGTTTTCTTCTGCAGCCCTGCAGCCAAAGGATGACAGGAGTTTCCATGTTCTTTCTTTGACAGGGTGAAGGCAGCCCAGAACGAGCTGGGACAACAGATCCTGGCTGATTTTGAAGAGGCTTTTCCTTCCCAAGGCACAAAGGTGTTTAATTATTATTTTGATCTTTTCTGTTTGCAAAATTATTGCTAATGGCAAGAAGCCACTCGCAAGGAAAACTGAGGCGCTGGCAGGCTCTAATGAGCAAAGCGCCTCCAAACTTGGCAACTTTAAGACTGGTGGACTTCCAACTCCCAGAGTTCCCCCACCTGCATGGCGGCCTAGGGAATTCTGGGAGTTGAAGCCCGTTCATTTTAACGTTACCGAGGTTAAGAAACACTGCGGTAGACACTCCAATGGAAAAGGGGCCTGCAGTTTTTGAGCGCTGTGATCAGCAAGCAGAGCAGATTTTATTTATCGGAATTTTATCCCACCCATTTATATTGTAAATAACTCAAGGCATACTTAATACTCCTTCCTGTAAGGTGGGGATTGCTGAGAGAGTGTGACTG